TTTTTGCCATTTCCTTCAAAGCAGCCTGAACTTCTTCTTTCATCACCATAGGCTCTTGCTCATATGTTGTTTCATGAAATTCTGTGTCTTCCAATTCCTTTCGATACAGTGACTCAGTATATTCCTTCCATCTTCTTTTAATACTTCCTGGATCAGTCATCTCCATAACATAGGTTGTTGTTGAGTCTCCCTCCAATGCTGATACCACATTCCTCCTCATAAAGTCCAGCCTCTTAAATTATCTTTTCTGCATGTAGGTTGAAAAAAGTATGGAGGTAAGATGCATCTCTGATGCACTCCTTTCCTAATTGTGAACCATGCAGTGTTTCCTTGCTCTGTTCTGACAACTTCTTCCTGATCCAGAAGTAGGTTTCACATGAGCATAATCAGGTGTTGTGGAATTAGCCACAATTTGTTGTTAACCACAGAGTCCAGTGTCTTTGCATAGCCAGCAAAACACAGACATTCCTCTGGTACTCTCTGCTTTCCGCCAAGAGCCATCTGATATTGGCTATGATGTCCCTAGTGCCATAGCCTGTTCTAAACCCAGCTTATATTTCTGGTAGTTCTCTGTTTCCAGTTGTTTTTTTAAAATCTTTAGAAGGATTTTGCTTGCATGTGATTTTAGTAATGTTGTTTAATAATTTCTACACTCTGTCAGATCTCCTTTCTTTTGGAATGGGGATAAATATGAATCTCTTCCAGTCACTTGGCCAGCTAATTGTTCTCCAGATTTCTTAGAACAACCTGATGAGCACAGTCAGGGCAGCATCTGTTTGATTATGTTTGATTTGTCATTGAAATGTGTCAATTGATATTCCATCAATTTCTGGAGCCTTCAGTCCATGTGGTCCCTTGACCTTCTGGAGCAAATGCTTCAGGTCCTCCTTTACTTCTGTGAGCAAGGTTGCATCATCTGCATAATGCAGGTTGTTGATGAGTCTTCCTCCAATCCTGATGCCACCTTCTTCTTCAAAGAGCCCAACCTTCCAAGTGGTCTTTCCAATATAGATGGAAAAATTATGAAGACAGAATACATCCCTGATTTACTCCTTTCCTGATTTTGAACCATGCAGTATTTCCTTGCTCTGACAATTACCCCTTAAGCTCACCATTTCCTCCTTTGCTGGTTCCTGATAACAATCAACTTCTGTGTCTCTACATTTGCCTTTCTAGACATTTCATATTATAAGTTCATATATTTGTTTTGAAAAATATTCCATTTGGTGCTAGTTGTTAGGTCTCATCAAGTTGAGTACAATTCATTGCAAACTTA